ACTCAGAAGAGGAAAGGCCTGCAGGAAGTGGAGGACCGCGGACTGGGCAGAAGGAAAGGAAACTTGCTGGTTCAGTAGGACTTCAGTTATGACGATTCACCCAGAGCCAGGTCGTGGCCACATTTAACTGTCCTGATAACTCTCGTAACGAGATGGGTGAGTCCCCTCATTTGGAGAAAAGTGTACATGACATTTGTAGAAGAGGAAGGATTTTTTAAAAATAGACTTTATTTTTTAGGACAGTTTTAGGTTCACAGCAAAATTGAGAGGAAAGTATAGAGAGTCCCCATGTACCCCCTGCCCCTACTCATGCACAGCCTCCCCGGTTATCAATGTCATTCACCAGATGGTACATTTTTACTAAGGGTGAACCTACACGGACACATCATTGTCACCCAAAGTCCATAGTTTACCGTGGGTTCACTCTTGGTGTTGTATATTTAATGGGTTTGGACAAATGTATAAAGACATGTATCCATCATTGTAAGATCATACAGAGCAGATTCACTGCCCTAAAAATCCTCCTATTCATCCCTCTTTCCCCCCAACCCCTGGCAACCATTCATCTTTTTACTGTAGTTGTACCTTTTCAGAATGTCATAGAGTTGGAATCATACAGTCTGCAGCCTTTTCAGATTGGCTTCTTCCTCTTAGGAATATGTACTTACCGTTCTTCCATGTCTTTATCGTAGCTGACAGCTCATTTCTTTTGGGCACTGAATAATATCCCATTGTCTGGAGGCACCACAGTTTATTTATCGTTTCACCTACTGATAGACATCTTGGCTGCTTCCACGTTTTGGTGATTATGAATAAAGCTGCTATAAACCTCTGTGTGCAAGTTTTGAACTGGGTTTTCAGCCTGCCGTTGTGGCATCATGTGGACGTCCGTGCCTGTGTTCCCATTCACATGAGTTACATTTTATTTAGAAAAAAAAATGTCGCCCTCTCCTCTGTCTTTGGATGGGCGATGAGGTAAGGGCTTATGTCAGTCTTTTATTTGGCGTCTCTCTTCACTCTCTCAGACACAGGATTGTTCGCAGGAGCAAATGATGACACTCTGTGTCTAATTAGCAGCTACTGATTGCTCACGCCTGCCATGGCTTGTTCTGCCTCCTCTCACTGGACAGAAGGAGGTGGGTTCCAGCACGGTTTCCGTGTTTCAATCTGGCTCACTGGCTTCTGATCGTGGAAATGGGGTTGCTTTTGGCTGAAGTTACAGCAGCATGGGGGAGCAGGGGTGAGGGTTAGATGCCTTTGGCCGGCAGAGGGAACTGAGAAGAGAGAGGTCATGGAGAAAACCCACCCCCATCATCCTTTCCGAGTCTGGAGCTAGCTACGGAATTCGCTATAAATAAGCACCGCAAGAGGCACTACTGTGCAAGAAGGGCTTTCTTTGCTGTCTCCTGCGGGACCGCTCAGCTGTTCTGGGTGAGATGGTCTGAGTCACAGTGTGCTCTGCCCCTTATCAGGACTCCACTCAGCACCCCCGGGTGAGGCTGTAGTCATCACAAGTCCCTTGGGGGCCATCTGCCCACTGTGTCAAATAGAGGGTCCTAACTGGCTGTGTTCCTTGACCTTTGGCCTAGTTCTAACTCCTCTAATAGCTAAACTTCCCTTTACTCATTTAAAAGGATGACTGGATTATCTGGAAAATTCCTTCTAGCCTTAATAATGCCTAGGACCATGGGTCATAGAATCCCCCCACCACCTGCCCCAGTACTTGGAGCTGTCCTATCTGTAAAAGCATCATCGTATTCGAGGAATTTTTACATTCTCTGCTGCCTTTTCTGAAGGACGGCGTTCTGATCGTCTGCTTGGGGGTTGGGGGGGTTGGTCAAAGCCCTGGATAGTTAGATACAGATGCGGTCGTTAGCAGAACTAGGGAAAGAGGTGGATGTCTAAAACAGAAAACACTGAACCAGTACGTTCTTGGAGTTCAGATGCAGTTGGGTTGTTTGTAAATGGCATCGCAGTCAATCAGTGTTAGCTTCCAGAAGGATGCTACGCTAATGTATGGCACTTGAGGATTGCAAGGGCCACACCAGTTCTAGCTGCCCCCCCTTTATTTTAAAGTGTACATTTGTCCTAGTCCCCCACTCATTCCCAGTTTGTTTGCACTTAGATATCAGAAGTGGGAGGGGGATTACTTGAAACTTCCATTTGCTGGCCCCCATTAGGTGTAGGAGGTGATGAGGGAGAACTTAGTCTCTGCTCTGTAGCCAGAACGCCTGAGGCTCTAGGCGTTACCGACACCGGGCCCGGGAAGGCACCAGGTCTGGGTGTGGAGTGTGAATACTTAGCTAGAAGCTCCGAGGAATGTCAACCGCCTCGTGCCCTCAGAGCTGGACCCTGGTCAGACACATCATCCAGATGACGAGATTAAAGATGTGCCTTCACTGGTGTGGACCGCTCTCCCGCTGAGCTGACACCCACAGTTGTTTTCAAGCTTGGACCCCCATCCCCTGCCTTGCCCTTCAGCGTGTGCAAAAAAATCGGTGGGCAAGTGTACACCAGGTACACTGGGTCCTCCGGGAGAGACAAGTGTGCAAGCCTGTAGGGCTGCAGCAGTCCCCACCCCGGCCCCAGCAATCTGGAGGCGGCGACTTTCCGGCGCGGGCGCCAGCGCTCCCTCGCTGCTATTTTCCTCTTTGGATCAGACCATTCTTATTTCAGGAGTGGAGTGGGACTCTCTCTGGGGCGCTATAGGGTGTCATCTCTGGCATTTGCTCCCGGTACAGAAAAACAAGTCCAAATGCAGTGCACTCGGGTTTCTGAACAGCTGCCCAAGCGCCAAAACCAGACTGTCAGCAAAGCTGTGGGAGGGCGGAGAGCAGGGACTCAGGAGAGGGAGGTGGGGGTGGGAGTG